ATGAGATAACCTAGTAGAAATGATAATTGTGGTATATTTTAAAAGTTTGGAAAAATCAGAATTGATTGTTCATTCAGCTATTGGAAGCTCTGTCTGGAGGAATTAAACTATAATTATACAATTACAAAAAGCACATTGTTCTATGAAGACTGTTTACTTAAAAAGGTATAAAGTCTAATCAGTACTTACTCATATTTACAAACTCAATGTGAACTTGAACAATTTATGTTTATGTATATTTACTTTGTAAATATTGAATGTGTGCCTAACAATCACAGCTAATCACAATATACAGTAATAAGAGCATTGGTGAGAAAATTCTAAAATACCAGGGATTTTAGAATTTTGACATGTAAGTCAATTTAGGTGAGGAGTTTGTAGGAGAATTTAGTAAAAAGTCCCAAGAAAATAAATTATATATAAATAGAGAAATGAGGAGAATATAAGATGTTGACCAGACTATAGTATGAAGAAAGGGAGATGGAGGGGATCTAGGGGTGATCTTCCCATCACAGGAAAAAATATGTGCAAAGAAAGGTCTGGAGATGAGAAAGAACAAATACAAAGACAACAATGATAACAGAATGTGACCTGAGAAATAAGCAAGGGACTGATTATGCATGGTTTGGGGGCCAATTAAAAAGTTTGGACTTGATGCAAAGAGTAGAGAAACCATTCCTCCTGGTTTGCCAAGAACACTTCACATAGATCTTTTCAGCATAATTATCAGTAGCATTCTCTTTTACTTTCAAAAGTGTCCAAGTTACAATTTATACTAATAGAGATCAGAAAAGTGGTTGTCTGGGATAGGAGGGTGATAGTGTGAGGAGTCACAGTGGGGATTAAACAGATTAACCAGGAAAGGGCAAAAGGAACATTCTAAAGTAATAGAAATACTGTATATTTTTAAAAAGAATGTGGTTTACACAGATATATGCATTTGTCAAAACTAATCTCACCTAAGCTCTGCATTTCACCATATATAAATTATAGGTTAAAAAAAGTTAATAAATATCTATTTGGACAGTAAATCAGGAAAGATCACCCTATCTAAGAGAAACAGAGAAGCTTTGAAGGGTTTTAAACAGGGGAGGTACACAACTAGACTTCAATTTTAATCTAATATACGCACTCTGGCAATAGTGTGTATATTGGACTAAAAGGGGCAAGACTGGCCGGGCTCGGTGGCTCAGCCTGTAAACCCGCGCCTTTGGGAGGCTGAGGTGAGTGGATTGCCTGAGCCCACGGGTTCGAGACCCGCCTGGGCAGCAAGACCTCATCTCTACAATAAATCAAAAAATCAGCCGGGTGTGGTAGCGCATGCCTATAATTTCGGCTACTCGGAAGGCTGAGGCGGAAGGATCACCGGAGCCCAGCAGGTGAGGCTGCGGTGGCCGGGAGCGGCCACTGCACTCCAGTCTGGGTGACTGAGTGAGACTCCAACTCAAAAAAAAAGGGGAGGGGCAAGTCTGAATGCTTGGGAGATCAGATGAAAGGCTTTTACGATCAGTCAGATGAATGGTGGTGGCCTGAAGTAAGATAGCTCCAGCAAGTATTCAGAGATCAACACAAAATTAAGATATATACCGAGATGCCAAAAAAATGTACACACATTTTAAGAGATGTTTGTCATAATCAGAAGTGTCTGGATGCTGATGGTAACAACACTGAGCACCTTGTAACTGCAGAAGTCAAACGTGACTTATATTCATCTTATTGAGTAGTACAGTTTTAATATAGCTTTTTTTTCCTTTTTCTAAAATGTGTATACATTTTTTTGGCACCTCCAGTAGAGAAGTTTTTAAAAATTAAGATATCCAGGAGACAGTTAGATAAACTGTCTGGTGCTCCGTAGAGAGATCCTGACTTGGGATTGGCACTGAATTAGAAGAATTCCCAAGTATAAAATTTTCTCTTATAATGATGAAAACATATCATATCTTTATTTTCCTAATCATTTATATCAAGGCATAGGTTATAAAGGGTTCAGCCACGTCCAGTATTATAATCATAACATGTAACTGAATAATCAGCAACCAGACCAATGAAGTTACTAGTGGACCAGAAAGTTCTAGTTATTACAACTGGCATAATCAAATTCTTTGAGGGTTTTTTCAACTTCTCTGGAACCTAACCAGTACCTGGCATATTACCCATGCTAAGAAAAATATTTTAACCCATGTGAAATGACACTGTTTTTTATCAATCTGTCCTGATAAACAATTCAAGGAAATGTTATTTAAAATAATCTGCATGCTTTCTTTATATCTTCTTAAATAAAAACATGGTAAAATAATTGCTTAATCTGTGCCAAGTTTTTACCTAAGCACTTTACATATATTATCCCATTTAGTTCTTACAACAACCCCTGTTTTATTCTCTTATTTATATAGGAAAGAAAAATTGAGGGGCAGAGAGGATAAGTAACTTGTTCAAAGGAAAACATCTAGCATAAGATAAAGTTAGGATTTGAACCCCCAGTCAGAAGCTTCAAGCCATTATACTCCACCCTATGTATTGTTTTCACTCAGGTGCCTAAATCTGATGCCTACGTGATCTCTCTATGGTGTATATTAACCATATATATGAAGAGTTAAGATGATAATGCTTCAGAACCAAGGTTCAATCTGTTGTAGGGAAAAATAAAGGGATGGACTGTGAAGGAAAGGTATAGGAGAGATGGAACAATGTAATCATAGATGTAAGTCTTACGTGTCTTAGCTTGTTCTATTCCCTTGAAATTAAATCCTGGAGAGGAAAGGAAGGAAGAAAAAGGAAGAAAGGAAGAAAGGAAGAAAGGAAGAAAGGAAGAAAGAAAGAAAGAAAGAAAGAAAGAAAGAAAGAAAGAAAGAAAGAAAGAAAGAGAAAAGCTACGTGTATCTATGCTTGTTTGCTACTACTAAGAATATGATATTTACAGTAAAAACATCTACTTTCAAGTAATAAACTTATAAATAAGAGCTTAAACTGATTCTTTCTCATAAATGAGCAAAATACCAAGTAATTACCTTTGAAGCATTTAATTTAAAATCTGAAACTATATCATGTGTCACATTGAGAACAGGAATCATATCAGAACAAGAAAATAATACTTCAGGAACACAAAGTCAGATTAAATAAGATTAATAATAACAGACAGGCATATGGTTCAAAGAGTATTTCGTCTTTGGCTCAAAAGTGTGATTCTGTAAATAGGTCAAAGCTGTCTGGTCTAGTGGTCAGATAAAGACAGAAAACTTTAGCTCAGATGGGATACACCGTGGGGTCAGTTGTTATACTTTTAGTGCTTCTGCTCAATAAATTTTATTAGACTTTTTTCAACCACTTCAATTTAAAGCAAGAATTAAGTACTTAGTAAATAAAATTACTAAATAAGCTAGACTAAAAATTCAAGAATCCAGGAGGTTCAATTTCCTTTCTGTATTTTTAGGTTATCTACATTTAAAGATAACCTAAATTAAATAAAATTAAGATTTTTCTTCTATAAAGCATGCACTTGCCCATAATTTTATTTATGCATTCATCGTAGGGCTTGTCAAGTGAAACAGGGTGAGTGGAGAAGAAACAAAGATATCTGTAACTGGTTGTAATTAATTGGTTGTAAACACCACTGTACTCAAACCAGTTCCATAACTTTAAATCTGAAGTCATAAGTGGCTTTTGTTTAAATGAATGTTTCTTGAAGTTCTAAATAGAAATATTGTGAGTTGTCATTTTACAAACTTATTCTGCCCCACCCATTACAGAAGGTCCACCTCTTAGAATAAAAATTCCATTAACCCCCCCATTGATGTAATATTTGGCCTCTTGCTGAGACTGTAAGTGAAGATGCCTATTTTGTTCTTAGTTCTTATAATGAAAAACATTTTCTTTGATAAACTGAAATAGGAACACCACTCTTTTTACATACAGAAACCCATCAAACAGCCCTTGTGAAATAACAATAAGTTTTGGTCAACCCCTAGTGTAGTCCACTGTGGCACAAGTGATCTTAAAGAGAAAACACAATTTCCTAAATCTCTTGTAAAGGATTTTATTCAGTAAGGCAGAAGTTATAAATATAGTTACTTTATAAACTTTCTCAGTTAAGAATTATCCTAAATAAATTATCTCACACTTACTATTTAAACTGTATATTATTTTCTTGAAATATATAGGAAATAAGGGGTAAAACAAGAGTGACTTATTTGTAAAAGCAGATGAAGGTAATTCTGTGAAGTTAGATATAATCTTACACCAACTAAAAAATCTAAAATAGTTTTTTCCATCATTAAAATTTTCTTAAATGTATGATCTACATTCAACAAGTCTCTCTTTTTGCTGTTGAGTCTTCCTCAGCATGCTGCCACCAGTAATCTCTAATTTCTACATTTAATAGTCTTTTTTTTCCATTCTTTATCATATTTGACTTTTCTACAATGTGTGACACTTCAATCATTGATTTTAACATGTGTTTAGTAAGTAACCTACTATGTATGAAACACTTGGGATTCAAAGATGAAAGTGCTCTGTCCCTTGATGTAAGGAAGCCAAGGCTTCTGACTATTCTTTTCCCCTTAAAAGTATCTTCCCAGCCGGGTGCTGTGGCTCACGCCTATAATCCCAGCACTTTGGGAGGCCAAGGTGAGAGGATTGCCTGAGCCCATGGGTTCGAGACCAGCCTGGGCAACTTGGCGAGACCTCATCTCTACAATAAATCAAAAAATTAGCTGGGCATGGTGGCACATGCCTGTAGTTCCAGCTACCTGGAAGGCTGAGGTGGAAGGACTGCCTGAGCCCAGCAGATGGAGGCTGCGGTGGCCGTGAGCGTGCTACTGCACTCCAGCCTGGGTGACAGAGTGAGACCCCTCCCCCCAAAAAGTATCTTCCCTAGATGTCTGTGTCCATTTTTTTTTTCTAGTTCTCCTCTTATCTTTGTCACTTTTTTTTCAGGCTGCTTCACAACTCCTCCATAAGCCTCCTCCATTCATGTTCTCCAGGGTTCTGCCTTCAGCTCTCACCTTTCCATAAGAATTCCACTCTCACTGCTATAAACAGTTGATTAAAGCTTGGGCTTCTCCAGGCAGAATGCTGGGTTCAGAGTTGAGTTCAGCTACCTAACATCTGGGTAAAATCATTCATGAAACTTTTCCTCTCTTGCTTCAATTTCCTCTTCTGTGAAAAAAAAGGGGTGTATTGAGGATTAGATTAGCTAATTTATATAAGACAAGTAATGTTCCATACAGTGCCTAGCATGTAAAAGTGCTCCGTAAATTGGAGCCTTTATTATTCAGAGGCACAATACTATAAATAGCTAAGAGCATGAATACTGAAGCCAGACTGCCTTGATTCAAATCACTTAATAGTTGTGCGGCCTTGGGCATGAGATGTGGTCTCTCTGTGCCTCAGTTTCCTCTTCTATAACCTGAGATAATAACTAATTCCTGCTTCATAGTGTTACAGTAAGAATTAGGTTAATTTATAAATATAAAGTGCTTGGAGCAGAATTAGGTAAGATTATTCTTAATATTACCAATGTCTAATATATCCTCAGATCTGCCTTTTTTTCCCATTTGCAACTGTTAACTTGATATTTTAACCAGAATGATTGAAGAAGTAAAGCACATTATGTCTAAGACTTACCTAATTATCTTCTTAAAACTTACTCTTTTTCCTTAATTATAATTTACCATTTACCTAATTTTCTAAGCTGGGAAAAATGTCAGTAATTCCTTACTCTTCACTTCCTTAATGATCTCTCAATAGATGCGGAAAAAACATTTGGCAAAATCCAACACCACTGCATAATTTTTAAAAACCCAAAAAATATGAATAAAAGGAATTTACATCATACTAATGAAGGCCATATATATAAAAAATTCACAGATAACATCATATTTATGGTGAAAAACAAAGTTTTTCCTTTAAGATCAGAAACAAAGCAAAAGTGCCCACTCTTACTACTTTTATTCAATATACTACTGTAAGTCATAGCCATGGCAATTAGGCAAGAAAAAGAAAAAAAATCAAATTGGAAAGGAAAAAGTAAAATTATTTCTGTTCACAGATGACAAGGTATTATATGTAGAAAACCCTAAAGATGCCTCAAAAAATCATTAGAACTACTAAACAAATTCAGCAAAATTTGTTGGAGGATACAAAATCAACATACAAAAACCAGTTGTTTTTATACACTAACATCAAGCTATCCAAGAAGGATAACAAAAGAATAAAAAGAGTAAAATACTTAGTAATAAACCTGATCATGGAAATAAAAGATTTGTATACTAAAAGCTACAAAACATTGGCTATGTCTCAGATTCCTTATCTATAATAATAACTAATACCTATTTCACAGTGAGACAGTAAGATTCAGAAATCTTAAAAGACACAAATAAAAAAAGCAATGAAAAAAATTTAAAAGACATAGATATATGGAAAGACATCCTATGTTCATGCACTGGAAAACTTAACATCACTAAAATGTCCATAAAACATAAAGCAATCCACAGATTCAATTCCTAACAAAATCCCAATGGCATACTTTACAGAAACAGAAAAACAATCCTAAAATTCACATGGAAACACAAAGGACCCCCGAATAGCCAAAATAATCTTAAGAAATAAGAACTAAGCTGGAAATATCACACTTTCTGATTTGAAAATACATTACAAGGGTATGGTAACTAATAAAGTATGGCTACTGGCATAGAGACAGATGTGATGAACCATGGAACAAAACAAACAGCCCAGAAATCAACCCACGCAAATATGGTGAACTGATCTTCAAAGATGCCAATAATACACAATAAGGTAAGGATAGTCTCTTCAACAAATGCTGTTGGAAAACCTTAATGTCAACAGGTAAAGGAATGAAATTGGAACTTACCCTACAGTATACACAAAAATCAACTCAAAGTGGTTGAAGACTTACATGGGTTTTTGGCATCAGGTTTAACCACCCTTAAAGATAAAATGGGAAAGAAAAATACTCACATCAGTATCATTGTCACTGGACATGTAGATTCATTCAAGTTCACCACTACTGGCCATATGATCTACAAATGTGGTGAGACTGACAAAAGAACCATCAAAAAATTTGAGGAAAAGACTGTTGAGATGAAAAGGGAGTCCTTCAAGTATGCCTAGGTCTTGGATGAACTAAAAGCTGAGCGTGAACATGGTATTATCAATGATATCTCCATGTAGAAATTTGAGACCAGCAAGCGAACATGAAGGCTGATAGAATGGGAAGGTCACCAAGTCTTCCCAGAAAGCACAGAAAGCTAAATGAATATTATCCCTAATACCTGTCACTGCAGTCTTAGTCATTGGTAAAAGAACCTCTCTCAGAACTGTTTGTCTCAACTGATCATTTAAAATTAACAGTAAAAGACAAGTTAATAATAACTATGCATTGCAAAACCTTCAGAAGGAAGAAGAATGTTTTGTGTACTGTTTTGAGTTTTTTGTATGGCAGGGATTTTTTAGATTATTCGTTTTTAAAATCAGTACTTTTTAATAAAAACAACTTAACCAAAAATCTGTCACAGAATTTTGAGGCTCATTAACCAGAGTTGAGTGAAAAAAAAAAAAACTTAAACATAAGACCTGAAAGTGTAAAACTCTTAGAAGAAAACACATGGGAAAAGCCTCATGACACTGGCCTTGATAATTATTTATTAGATATAACATCAATCATAAATATATGATATGGATGTCCATGGATATATGCACAGGCATCAAAGAAAAATAGACAAGTAAGATCACATCAGACTAAAAATCTGTACAGCAAAGAAAACAATCAAAAGAGTGAAAAGCCAACCAATAAAATGTAAGAAAATATGTGCAAGCCATAATAAGGGGTTACTATTCAAAATATATAAAGAACACTCACAACTCAATAGCAAAAACAAATAAATAAACAAAGACTGATTAAAAATTAGGCTTAGCCGGGCTCGGTGGCTCAGCCTGTAATCCCGCGCCTTTGGGAGGCTGGGGTGAGTGGATTGCCTGAGCCCGCGGGTTCAAGACCCGCCTGGGCAGCGAGACCTCATCTCTACAATAAATCAAAAAAATCAGCAGGGCGTGGTAGTGCATGCCTGTAATTCCGGCTACTTGGAAGGCTGAGGTGGAAGGATCGCCGGAGCCCAGCAGGCGAGGCTGTGGTGGCCAGGAGCAGCCACTGCACTCCAGTCTGGGCGACCGAGTGAGACTCCAACTCAAAAAAAAAAAAAAAAAAATAGGCTTAAATAGACATTCTCCTAAGATGATATACAAATGGGTAACAAGTACATGAAAAGATGCTCAAGATCAATAATTATGAAGGAAATGCAAATCAAAACCACAGGAGAAAATTGCTTCATACGTGCTAGAACGCCCATTACCAAAAATCAAATAAACAAAAGATAAGTGTTGGAGAGGATACAGAGAAAGTGAAACCCTTGTGCACTACTGGTGGCAATATAAAATAATACAGCAGCTATGGAAAACAGTTTCTCAAAAAATTTAAAACTGATCATATGATCCAACAATCCCACACTTGGGTACTTATCCAAAATAACTGAAATCAGGATCTCAAAGAGCTCCACTCCCATATTTACTGCAGCATTATTTGCAATAGCCAAGATGAGGAAACAGCCTAAATATCTATCAATAGATGAAAAGATAATGAAAATATGTTATTATTTAGCTTAAAAAAGGAACTATTGCTATATGCAACAACATGAATGAACTTTGAGGATATTATGCCATGTAAAATAAGCCAGTCTCAGAAAGACAAATGCTACATGATTCCTCTTATATGCGATATCAAAAATAGTCCAATACAGAAGTAGAAAGTAGAATGGTGATTGCCATGGACTGTGGAGAAAGACAAGTGGGGAGTTGCTGTCCAACAAACACAAATTTCAGTTATACAAGATGAATACATTCTAGAGATCCTTTGTACAACACCATACTTAAAGTTAACAATGCTACATTGTACTCTTAAAAATATATAAAGATCTCTTAAGAGGATAGAGTTCTCACGTATCTGTTTCTCTGCAATAAAATAAAAAAGGAAGAAAATCTGAAATCCATTATTTGCCCACTTTCTCTGACTCTTCCTTAGGCTTTCTACAGTCTCTTGAACAATTTCCATAGTCTTCTAATTATCTCCATGTCTCAGACAGGCTCTTTTTCTCCAATCCAAAGCACCTAACCTAAAGTTACCTTCCTAAAATATAGATGTGATTTGAAAATCTTCTTAATATACACTATTTGTGTGGTTATTTCCTATAAGCCAATGCCAAGGAACACAGCATATATACACATTTCTTCATAATCTGGTCCAACTACCTTTGTAGTCTCAGTATCAAGCACTATATATCTCACACTCTAGTCACACTCAATTAGTGGTTATTTGAACAAGCTCTGTGCTTAATTTCATATTCTGTTACTTCTTTCATGTCCTAAGGCTCTCAACTTGGAGTTATTTGATGTTACTCTTCCTCCTTCATGTCCCATATCCTATAAATAATGAAGACACAATTTTTTCCTGATTTAACTCCATGGACAATCATGTAACATTTTCAGACTATTGTAATTTACAGTGCAAAATATATTAAATGATCCCAGCTGGCTAAATCCAGAGGAGGAAGTTAAGTATATTGTCCATCTATTATAAACCAAAATATGTATAAAAGTCACAGGGTATGATTATCAAATTATGTTTCTCATTATGGATTTAATGAAATAGATTGGGTCCATAAGAGCAGATGTTCTCTGAGATTCTTCTCTCTCTCTAAACCTTGCTTGGTAAGTAAATGGCACATCATCATCCTCTCCTGAACTCCATTCAAAACTTTCCTACGACTTAAAAGACATTCCTACTAGAATTCCTGGCATATCCAAAATTGAAAATATTATCTTCCTTCAAAATATAATCCTCCTCCGAAATGCCTCATTTTTACACTTTCATGCTAAATTTCTCCTTGACTTTTTCCAAACTTTAGAGTCAGGGAACACATCAGAAACTGGTTAAAACCACATGGACACTGTGTCTGCATTTTATAAAAATGACTACTAGACTGCATTTTGTCTTATCAGGTTAAACAAGATAA